GTTGAAGCTCAGACGCATTTCTCTTTTCAGCAGGAACCCCCCGCTGGGTGAGGCATCGCTTTCAAAGAATTCCAATGTGCAGCGTGGCCCACGAGGCTTTTCTCTTTAGGTCGGGTGTGAGAACCGGTTCTGCATGCTGGTTTCAATGTGTTCCTTAAAGAAAGAAAATAATGCGACAAAGATTGGGTGCGGGTTACACGTTGTACATTTTAAACCATGAACTTTGCTCGGTTCCCGGTGAGGGTCAATGCAATGTGTCACACAGATCTACTGTGTATCTAGATGACCTCATTAACCTTCAATGGACATATTGAGCATATATCCAAGCCAATGTTACATGTATCTACTAATTCCAAATATGGAAGACTTGTTCTTTCTTTCTGCTGTGCACACATTTTCCCTTTTCTTAATAAATGTTTAAATGTCCCCTCATTGCAAAAACAGAAAACATGTTGTTGGCCAATTCCCTTGTGAAAGAATGCTGTGCTGTTACAAGAAAAATGAAAAAAATGTATATCAAACTAGGAGACACTTCGCCAAAGACCACAATGGATGTTGTGATGCCGAATATCCATTGTCTATTGTCAGATTCCCCCAGCCTCACCCCGTGTTACCCTACAACAAATTCCCTACACTGTTGCTGAAAAAAAACATAGTCCGAACTAGTTAATCCTAAACTCTTTTTGTTTTCAGAAACATCCCACTGCTGAGATCTTTGTCAGATATTTGATTTGCAGACAAGCAGAAATGAGAGGCAGCTCGTAAAATATCTGAAGGAATATGCTGGATCTGTTAACTTAATAATAAAATAGAATCCCTTTAGCTTTTTGACATCATAATTCAGGATTCAATTATACATTTAATTTGCATGTTATATTTCTGATCAGATATGTAAACTATGATTTTGTCAGACAATTTATTTAATACATAAATATTATATAAATATTAAAAAATATATAAATATACTACTGCATGTTTTTAGTTTTCGTATGGTTTAGGTGTATGCTGCCATTCATAAAAGTGCTATAAATGTTCCATTCAAGTATTGTTACTTTTCAGAATCATATCACAATAATGCTTGTGTTTGTCCAATTTGTGCAAATTGCATTTAAGAGGTTTGTGACATTATGAGTACAAGTGTAAGATAGCTGAACGTATCCAAGCGCACTTCAAAAGAAGATCTGGGTGCGTTTCGGGTTAGCAGGGATCAGCTGGGTTTCCTTTCTTTTGTGGCTTTGAACCAAATGTAACTGTTCTCACTTACAAAGATTTCCTATCACTCGTAAAAAAAAAATCTAATTACACTTAAACTTTGCCACATTTCCATGGGATTTAGATTTAATTGGAGACATAGTGGTTAACGGATATAAGGGATCAGAGATTGGCAGGGGTTGAAAAGCTAGAGCTACATTGCAGAGTTAAGCCAAGGATCCCGCTCATAAGTAGCACTTTTTCAGTCACAAAAAAAGAGAAATAACTAAAGGATCTACTGCTAAATGGCTTTATATCCAACATTTTAACAACATTTGTACGAAACTGCTTGTTAATGTCAAAGCCTTTTTTCTTTCAAATAATTGCAAATGTGTGTCTACAGTTAAATCCCATTGAAACATGAGTCACCCTGCAGAGCTTTGTCTGTAGCATAACCCCATAGTTCAGTGATGTCTCATTGAAACATACAGTTAACGTATGACTGTTCATTTATTTTCTCATTAGCTTGTCTCACAGGCTCTCTCCATCCTGCCCTCCCATCCACCTGCACATTCTAACGAGGTGATCGCAGCGCTCAAATACAAGACTGTGATCACATCGCATGCCTGCCCCATGTGTCCACTTTCCTCTCTTTGTTAGCCAACAGCCTTACACACATGGAGGCCCGGGCGGTTTCCTGCAGGCCAACGCAGGGAGGTGTGTTTCTAATTATAACCCTGATGTAGGGTTAAGCACACTCTGCAGGCCACCACAGCCAACAGGATTTATGGTGCCTAGGTCCGGGCTCCCACCCACGAAACCCACCAGAGACCGAAGCTTTTCACTTTCAGCAGTTATAAATCAGTAAAGTATGGCCGGTAGCTGCCACTCTATTGCACACCAATAGCGCTGTATCCTGCAGGAGGTGAGAACACTGGCATTGCTACAGTAGGTCAGGTTATTGTGGCCTTCATTCCTGAAGGCTTCTCAAATATAACATGTTTTCTTTAGTAATCTATCTCAAATCTGTTACTCTTGGCTAATTCATGCCAAAGTCCTGCATAGAATGAATGAGTATTTCAATCAGCAGGAGTCCAGCAATAGCATTCAGTACTGGATACACTTACGTTTATAACACAAAAGTTAAAAAAAGAAAATCTTTACCATAAAGATTATAAAGCCAGGGGAGACAGTAATCTCAGTTTAGCATAAAGCTAGAAGCAACAGAAAACTGTTAGCCTGGCACTCTCCCTTTAAAATATACCAAATAGCACCTTAATTATATGGTGTATATTGCTCATCTCACCAATTGTCATTTAAACATTTCTGGTTGTGTTCAGATAAAACAAATGCCATAAAAAAAATAAGTAGTACGTGTATTCACTTTGGCCGTTTCCCCTGCTTCCAAACTGTATGCTAAGCTGATCACTTTCAGGCTTTCTTTTATCTAGATTCACACTAAACACACTCAGAAAGAAGGAGAATGACTAACATTCATATTATTATATATGGACATTTTGTCAAGTTAAGCAGTGTTGTAGATAAAATAAGTCTTCAATGACTGAATGCTTTTTTTTAAACATTGGAATAAAGTATAACTTGTTGTAAGTTTATAATAGTCATTAAGAAAATGAGCAATATATTTGGTCAATGGCAGGTCAATAGGGCTATGGACTGAACCGTGTTGTATGATAGGTCAAGGTCAAACAACAGCAAAATGTCACAGAACAAAATGTCAAAGGACAATAAGGTTTCCACTACCTCGGAACAGTTTTGATCTTCTTTAAAATATAAATAATACTGATCTAAAGCTTGAAGGCAAAATCAATCCAACTCCAAATAATTTTAGCCTGAGCCTTTTGATTATTGAAAACAAGAGGAAATCCTTTACAAACAGGAAGGTTTCCCTTTTGTGTAATAAAGATCCAAAATAATGTGGCAAAAACAAACTGGTATGTGGTAAACAAACTTAGAGAACAAACCTCCCGCATGATGGATGTGTGATTACTAGGACCTGAATGGCTGGACAGTTGATCATAGCAGCGTCATGCAAACCCCAGGGAGCACTGACCTTGGATCAGCACTTGCAGGGAGCAATACAAACATCACAGTATCCAGGTTGCACTGTGATGAACGCCTCTTTAGGGAAACACATGTGGTCGGACATACTTAAGAGTATTACACATCAGTTCCAAAAAACTACATGTGCCTTCCTATATATTGTTAATGACTAATGAGTCATTTAAAAGTAGCCAAAATCCTTGTAAAAACAGGAAATTGTATTGAATTTAAAAGCAAAATCACTCAGGCAGGAATGGAGTCGAGGTCAATGCAATATTGTTGATCATAGGAAGCTCGTCTCGGTTATTAACAATGACAAAAACAAACAGAGGTGGGTCTGCAGCTTTGGAGCAGGACAGCAACAAGTAGAAGTGGGGTTTTCCTACAGTGGAGCAGGGCTCTCTAGGGCCCTGCAGGACATGAAAGAAGCCCTCTGGGCTGCCAGAATCCCTTTCAATACACGGAGGTTTTGCAAATCCAGGACCTTTGTTCCTTTGTTCATGTTCTCAAGTGTTCTTTTGGGAGCACATAGGTGAACTGAGGGTGTTTTTAGGGTGTGACTGCATTCAGCTGGACTGGAGGCTAAAAAGATGTATAGATTAACAGAACACAGCAATGTGAACAGTGAGCCATAGGAAGACAAACCATCTAAAATATGACATATAAACCATCCTGTTCCCATATATTGTCAGTTGGTGCCAGAGCAGGTCATTTATGTCTTTGCATCCGTGCCATCAAGAGGGACTGAGAGGCAGAGAATGTGGTGATGTAACTTTAAATTTGTGTAAATGTTGAGTTAACAGTTACAAACATTTAATATTGCTGCAGAGTATGGCCAACTTATATATTGCTACATTTCATAATATTCATTTAGAAAAATAAGCAATACAGAAGGTATACTGGTTGATTAATACAGTATTAACCAGTGCGTCTCACTGCTCCACCTGATCTTGGTTACTGACACCGCTCAGCTGTAAAATAAAAGTGTATGAGCATTACATTGTGTCTTGTGACACCTGGTGGTCAAATCAATATATTACAGTACAGAGTGTGGTGATGCGTAAGGGGAAATCTGGGATCAATACGGTTATCGATGTTTATACATCCATGTGAAAAATCAATACTCCGTGATTTTTAAACAATAAACGATAATTCTGCATTCTAAGAAAAGCCATATCTTGAAAAATAAACTATTGGTAGTCAAATGTGTAGTTTGCACTCAAATCAAGTGTTTCTATCAAACTGCAAATATTTTGAAACTAATCCCGCACTTCAAAGTCAACTTTATTGTCAATCTTTGTGTGTAAAACAGAGAGATCGAAGTACTTTCCCACATTCCAAAGGAATAAAATAAAAATATATATAAAATATGTATACAAATATACAATATATATATATATACACATATAAAATCAACATACACATAAACATATGCACACATTGAAAAGGCATAAATAAAAGCACAAAAGTCCAAATTAAACAAAATAACATTCACTTCAAAATGATTAAGTGACTGTTATGTTGTATATATTGACTGTTGTGCTTTTATTTATGCCTTTTCAATGTGTGCATATGTATATATGTGTATGTTGATTTTTAAATATAATGTACAAATGTACAGTGATGCACATAAAGCGTACTCCATTTCCCATAACACATGCTTCAGATGTGTCCCGCCTCTTTTTTGCAATGAGAAATCTGATTGGTTGTCAAATCTGTATCACTGCATGACGAATTCTGATTGGCTTGTTGTACTTTGTGTCTACTGTCTTGCAGCGTGCTACATAAAGGCAGTATTTCTTCAAGGTAAACCAGCTTTTCGATCTAATTTTCCGAGTACAATGCAGTATACATAGTATAATGTTTGTGTTTTCACCAAACAAGAGCAGTTGTTGAAGGTGTGTCGTGTCAAAAAACTAAGACGCAACTGTAGCCAGCGAAGACGTGCAGTGCCAGTTTTGTAACTGTCCAGCAATGTCATCTCTTTGCTGACATTTGTTTTGAGAGAATATCTTTAAAAAAAATGGATCAAATGTTATAAGGTATTATTGAAAAAAATAACATTGACTAAAAAGGCACAAATGCACCTGGCTTTTAACCTGCACGGTAGATTTACCACCTTTATAGGGACCTGTTAAACTTGTTTATTTTTAATAGATAATTTACTCACTTTTTAGAGACACATATCACGGTTACATTTAGATGCAATCAGTAGGTTTAAGGAACTTGCCATGGTGTTTGCATAAGAATAAATAAAATTCTTGAAAAGAGGTTTAATAGTTGCAAACAGTACAGAAGTATACATTTAATATGTAGATATATTTTTCAAAATTAGATGCTGACCGGTTTTGTGCTGGATTGATGTATTATTGTCTCTCTCCTGCAACAAGCAAGATGACAAGCAAAACAAAGGCAGAGCCCAAATCCAGTGGTGTGACCAATGGAGGGGCAAGGATTGTTGTGGATGGTGATGACGAAGTTCTAAGGTAAGAAACCAAACCATGATCGTTGGTTGTTTCTGGCACCGAAACAATATTTGAATGATTTTAAGGGGACCTATCATGCAAAATGCACTTTTTGATGTCTTTTATACATGTGTCCCCGGTGTGTCGGGGAACTCACGCAGCGTCAGAAAACAAAACCCTCTCTCTTGTACCCAAATCTCTAAAAACGGGGCTACAACGGAGCTGATCCAGATTTGCGTCCGATATGACGTAATATCGGAAATGTAGGCTGGCTTTAGGATGTATAATAAGAACTGGATACAGCGTGGGAGGCGGGGCCTCGTTCATTCCTATGAGAGTTGCTCATTGGCGCATGAAGACAAAATGGCCCAACTTTTGAGAGAGCGAAACGTCACGAAAGTATTCATATAATCATATAATCCGTTCTTATTGTGCATCCGTGGGTAAAGGTAAAACTCATGTAGTACTGAACACGTCACATGAACGTGCCGGGCGGCGCGGTCCCGTGGGTTAGATGCGCGTTCATAATGCAAAGGAAAATAACTCTCAGAATAATGTTATTAGCACATTTTACAACTTGAGGACCAAATGTTTTTAATAAGGGCTATACAAATATTCATACTTGAATTTTCTGTTTTTTTAAAGCTTTATACCCCAAATCAGCACTTTTGAAACAGGAAGTGAAATAAAGGGATATTTACCACCCTCTATTTCATGGCTAGAATGGATGATCTGTTTGGTATTTTGAGCAAAACATTTCATAGACATGTTTTTTATATTTTTTTATATATCTGAGACCTATGCTATTGCCTAAAAATAGCATGATAGGTGCACTTTAAGCGAGTCAAATTCAGCAGGTTCTCATGTCAGTCCCTTTTCTCTCTCTGTTCCACCAAGCCCCACAGACCTGTCTGAGATGTTAGCAGAGGGAACCAAGGACTCCCACGACAAAGCAGAGAACTGCCAGTTTGTCAAAGATTTCCTCAGAGGCCGCATCAAACGAGAGCTGTTTAAGGTGTCCATACATTGTTGTTGCTCGACTTCCAATGATGATAGAAAAATGTCTGTCAGACTAACAAACTAACACAGGCACAATAATGGCACCAGTACCAACATTTAAACAAAACAGCAATAAATGCATACAAAAGTGAATCAGTAATATCTTACTTTTAGCTCTTGAATCCAACCTTTGCTTTTGCTCTTTGTCACAGTTCCCTATCAGTCTTTGCTATATTTCCAAAGAAATTAACAAATTGTCCCTTCACTAAGCACCAATTAACAACTTGTACCATATTACCTTTGTTTATCCCACTTTTTCTCTCTCTGTTTCTGTGGCCAGAGGGGCACAGCAGCTCTGTACTTTGTCTATGCAGCCATGGAGGAGGAGATTGAGAAGAATGAAGACCATCCTCACATCGCCCCGATCTATTTCCCTGCAGAGCTGCACCGGCGCGAGGCCCTGGCCCGGGACCTCGAGTACTTCTATGGAGAGGACTGGGAGAGCCAGGTCAGCAGAGAGCACAGTGTATTATTTTTCCAGCTTTCTGTAATTTGATCATAGTTCTATTCCATTATATGTCTACGCTTTCCTGAAAATATTATAAAATGGATTAAAACTAAAACAAACTTCTGCTGCAGAAATTACTCATCACTATAGAATTGACAGCCATTTCGATGACGTCCATGTTCTCCCTCACAGATCAGCCTCTCCGCTGGCACCAAGCCTTACGTGGACCGTATCCACGAGGTGGGACAGAGGGACCCGGTGCTGCTGGTGGCCCACTCCTACACCCGCTACATGGGGGACCTCTCAGGCGGACAGATCCTCAAGAAAGTGGCCCAGCGGGCGCTGAAACTCCCCTCCACAGGCGAGGGTCTTAACTTTTACCAGTTTGAGGGGATCCACAGTCAAAAAGGCTTCAAGCAGCTCTACCGGAGCAGGATGAACGAGCTCGAACTGGACGCTGAGACCAAAGAAAGGATTGTTGGCGAGTCCAACCGGGCCTTCAGCTTCAACATGATGGTGAGGGCAGCAGAAACAAAATGCATTAAGAAAGTTCAATCAGGAGAGACGGTTTTGATGTAATAATACATATTTATTGCGCAGATGCACAAATGAATGCAATGTTAATTTTGGCGATTAGGCCCCGTTGTGCAGGAAGTATCATTCGGGAAGGTAGAACCGATCCGATGAAACCCCCCTGGGGTCTAGACACTGGTGGTGGTGAATGGATAGTTGGGTCGGTCTGAAGAGGAGTGGTTTAGCTTGACCCTGGATTCAGAGGGACAGGAGGTGAAAAGGGGTGGAGGAGGGTTGCGTAGAGTCACCTGAAATGACAGCTGTCAGAGGGGGAAGAGCAGACTTAAAAGGTTTGACAGAACGCTATGATAGGCTCTTGGGAATAGAGCGAAGTGATTGGTTAAACTGAAGAGTGACGCCCCCGGTCACTTATTGAGAGGAGAGAGAGTAGTAACATGGGAATAGAGATACGTGAATGAGTAAAGACGGTCTTCCTGGTTGAACTTGCGCTGAGCTTCATTTGATGAGAATACATGTTATTTGAAAGAGAAAGAGAAAGTTATAACAAATCCCAATTTTTATTCTGTAAACAGGTCTTTACAGAGCTTGAAGAGATTGGGAAGACTATCAAAGAAGAAGTCCAAGATGCAGGGTTAGGACACAGTCATTCAGAGATCATGGAGGGGATGGATGGAGGTGATATCAACAAGTGTCCCTACTATGCAGCAAAAATGGGTGAGACAGTCCATAAAATATCACTTCATTATGCTTTTTAAAATAATAATCTGATTAGCTTCAGGTAATTTATACTACAGCACATTTAATGGTATGCAATAGGGTCCTTTAACTGAGATGTTTTTAAAAGTCCCAGCACAAAAGGATGTATGAGTGCGGGTGCCAACAATTATAATTTTATTTTGGAGAAAAAACTGTCACTTAAAAACAATGGGGGTCAAAAATAACCTTTTCACAGATTCATCCCTCTGTATTTAGTAAGTATTAGCTTGAATGATGCATGTTTAATTGAGCAAAGTCCCCCATATTGTAGCATATCTAAATGGGTGGTAATCCATGAAATGACTTGTTAATGATGACAGTCTTCCTGCTTTGTATGGCCTCATTCCTTCATTCTCTTCATCCCTCACCTCCTCTCTACAGTTGCCAGTGGAAATCCCACCTACGCCTGCCAGTTAGCCATGACGCTCCTCAGACACCCCCCCTGTCAGTGGGCTCTGGCCGCCTGGGTGGCTCTCCTCGCTGGTTTCACTGCCTGGTACCTTCTGTGAGCTTTGACACACTTTACCCTGCCATCAACTCTGAGCAAAGAGCTTTGAATCATATACTGCCTGAAAGTAGGAAACAATTAAGCAGGAAAAGAACAGTTTTTGATTATTTGTTTGCGGGCAAACATTTGCGGCATCCCATCATTGACATCTAACTAGCCAATTTGTTTTTGTTATGCTTTACTCAGTGGAAATATGCATACAGGGTTTACAAATGTATTTAATAAAGTAGGATGATGTACTGCTGCAGTTTCTGATTTTAAATAAAGGGCAGTCCATAAATAGTGATTCAATCTCAACAAGAGGCCATGGGTTAATATCATTCAGCTTGTGTTAAAGCCAATAAACCTTAACCTGGCAAAAATTCATAACAGCTTTCTTCAGAGATCCTCATTTGAATTACTTCGATAACAAAAAAGTGACTTTGCACATTTTTGTTCTACAGAGGTTTGGGGGGGAAGTCTGTATACATTGTACTAATGATGCAGTAACTTCAACAGTTCTGCTGAGGTATCTTCTCCAGGCCACCAGGGGGCAGGATAGCATTGAGATTGACTATTATAGCTATGGTTGTGAAAACTGAAGGTTACAAAAGGCCTAGGAACCATATCTTGTATACAAATTGATCATACAACAATGGTATATTTAATTTAAGTTATAAAGTCACAGAAAAAAGTGTGACTAAAGTATGCATGTATAATAGTTTTCTTCTATGTGATGGTATTAACAAATGCCCTATTATACTTTTAATGTAGATGGGTCACTGTGCATGCCTGAGTCACTTAGAGTATTTAAATAATCTACTCTTCATATACCTTGAAATACTTGTCACTAAATTATCCATGAATTTCAGTGTAAAACATTAGAAGAAAAATACTTAAGTTTTATTTTCTGTTTTCACACATTCTGTTTGATCCATTAAGACCAAATTAACATATTACTGCCATCACACTTGTTATGTTTTTTCATTCTGAAGGCCACAGTCCTGCTGAACCCTCAAAATATGCTTCCTTAATCATCAATCACAGGCTTCATTGAATATTTAAAGGGAGCTTGTTATTCATGGTGGAGACTTGAGATAAACAACGACTTACATATCTCAGTCACAGATCAATGTCAGCCTTCCCCCATAAAATCGTATTTTCCATGCAGAACAGATCCTTCTCAAAACAGTTTATTTAAAAGCTTAACAAATAGGAGCACTACCTGTTGACTAGTACTGTCTCAACCTCTCCATTTTCAAAAAATTGAATTATCAAATCCCAAACACCTTTTTAAAACCCTGTTTGTCCACCACACGTCCAAAATGAGTGGAGAAATACAATGTCTGTGGAGTGCTGAATCTCTTTAGTTTGAATATATTCTCTTTTCCGGTATCACCTGTATCAGAAATTGTCATAACATCTGACACAGGCAGGTAGATATCATTACGCCGGCCCCAGAATGTGAGGTGGGATACTTTGAGGGTGGTCTGGGAGGGGTCCAGGTACATCCTCCCCACCACACTCCTGAAGAAGTGACTGGCGGTGAACAGCATGGCGCCAGCAAACAGCGCTGTCCCCGTACAGTAGCTGACGAGGAAGAAGGGGACGTCTCCATGGAGGTAGAAGAAGTACACCGGTGGCAAGAGGACCATGGTGAATGCGGTTTGGAGCAGCTTGAGCCTGGACACAGCTCTGAGGAGCCTTATGTGCGGCATGTTGTAAATCACAGTGTACTTCTCTGTTGTCAGGTCAGAGTACCTGGCCAGGGCTGTGATTTTAGGTATCAGGGGTCCCTGGAAGTTCTGCTGGATGGGGGTGAGACTTGAATGAGGCTGCACACCATAAGATATCCGACCTGTGAGTAGACATGATCCTCTGGGGCAGGACAGGATGTGGGAGGTTACCCTGCGCAGCAGCACTGACCTGATCTGTAGAAAAGTAACAGGTACAGTTGATACTGTGCAAGAGCAAAAACAACCTACAAAATAAATGATAAGAAAACGTATTTGCAAAAACTCAGAATAATATAGAATAAGAATATAATTTTAACAGAAAGTGCAAAACATCTCTAATTTTCTCTTTAATTTGAAACAGTCAGACATTTTCGAGACAACAAACAATTAAGGAAAAGAAAATCAGAATATAAATTGATAGGGAATAAACTGTTAATTACAACTTTTACACCAAGTTATACAAAGTAATGCAATACAGCACCACTAATAAACACAAAAGCTTAAAAGTCTCAACAACAATTAAACATAAATAAGAGGGCTATAACAGGTTTCTCAATTCAGATTCAGTCTTTCAGTTGTTTGAATGTATGAGCAAGGTACCACGAGAAATCATTCATATGTAACTTTGTTTTAATTAGAAGTGAGGTAACAGTAATAATGTTAATATGCAAAGACTATTATGTTAGTATCGATTAACCAGAGTGGAACACAGTAGATTACTTCAGATTGACCTGTCATACATTCAAGGCAAAGCAGCAGTTAGCTTGTGCTGCTACTAAATCAACTTATTTTTACACTATTTTCAATTAAATCAATGTAAAAATGTGAGAGAGAAGGGGCTCACCATGACTGACGACATGATTAATAGAAGAAGAAAAACCAAGAAACACCAATCTTGTTGGAAGTAAGAGACCAAAGGCAACACTTTCAGAGCTGTTAGTTTACATGACCTACACACTCTGACCCGGATGTTATGCGTATAAAAACTACAATCAACGTTGTTAAAACTACTATTACTGTTATATTTTAAATTCATGGCTTAAGAGCAGTTTTTCTCCATTATTGAATTAAAATAATAAAGATTAAAAAAAGACATCTTAGTTAAAAAACATGACCCGGATGTATTCAACAAAGATTATTTTTAAAATATTGTATATATGCTCACGTGTCCGGTCCGCCCCCTTGTGGGAAAGTCGTATATGATCACAAACTTTGAATTCCTTTTTTTATTAAATCTCACCTGAACCTAACTCAGTACTTAGCTGCAAAGGTAATGCAGCTTGCGGAAAAGACGCGCAACGTGAGGCAGAGTTGTCATATCCGCCGCAGACAGTCATAACAGTGAGTTCCCGTTTTCATGTGAACTGTCACTGCAGTTTCAGGCTTTATCCTGTTGCTAAGCATTGTATTTATCTGGTTTTAGCAGTAAGGTAGGCGGAGCATGACGTCATCTCATAGAGGGTGTTTGAATAAAGTACACTTAGCAGGGATGGTAGCGGAATGCTTAACTGAGAGGCTGCGGAGCAATTTGACACCAGGTCCCGCTTTCCCTTATTTGACAGTCGGGAAGGAATAGAGGACACCATGCTGCAGCTCGGAGATGAAGTCACCTTGTACTCGGTGGTCTTCGTGCTGGTCCTACTGGGGACCCGCAGCCCGGTGTGGACCACCGCCCTCACCGTCTCCCTCTACCTCTTTGTGGCCATGTTCCGGTTCCCCCAGGTACCGAGCAGCCGAGCCAGGCAGGTGCTGCACCCGCTCAGGGGCACGGTGGGCTCCGGCCGGGTGTCGGTGGTCGCTCACCGGGGCGGAGGGCACGACGCTCCGGAGAACACGATAGTCGCCATACGAGAGGTGAGAGTAGGGTGGGAGAGTGTTTGGGGCTTTTTCCTTCACATGTCCAGGGATGGTGTCACTCACAGCCTCCCAGAGTGTTACCATGGTGACAAGGGGCAAACCATCACTGGATTCTGATCATATCTGGTCATATCCTCTTGATATCTTAATAAAGTGTAACATATTGCCATAGTTCTGTAAAATGGCATTGTTAACATTCAGCACTACAGCCTCAAATTATCCACACTGCTCTTTATTGAACTGTAGTGTGACTGGAACCTTTACCACATATATTCCATGGTCAAACCAATACTGTAGCCTACTTTGTTTTAATGTCCCTAAAGGAACGTTTTAAAACTGTACACTGATCAGGATATTCAGAATTTGAAAAACAAATCTGTAAACGCTCTTGAGTGGACAACTACATAGTGGAGATTGTATTCAAACAATGGCTTATTGCTTGAGTTTATTGTTGGTTATACTGGCCAACATAAACCAGTACTGATCAGAAGTCAGTGAAGGTTGGGATTTAGATGCAATCTTATTTGTTGACATAACTGGCCACAACCAGAAGCAAACCCTCCTGAAATACTTGTTTGCCAACCCTCTCATTCATCTGTCCCTGTTAAGGCCAGTAAAAATGGGGCGACAGGTGTGGAGTTGGACCTGGAGTTCTCAGCCGACGGCGTCCCGATACTGATGCACGATGAGACTGTGGACCGGACCACCAACGGGTCGGGACCCCTCTGCCAGATGAGACTGTCAGAGCTGGGTAATCTGGACGCAGCTGCTAAACACAGACTCAGGTAAAAAAAAGAAAGATGTAGCTTAAGATGCATACAAGCAGACAGATGTGCAGACATTACACATTGTATTCTTTGGGAACTTTTTGATTTTTGAACACTAGATTTAGGATGATCCAGGATTCGCAGCATGTATGTCAATGAAATAAGAGACTGTATGAAATCTATTATCTTTGTTTATAAAGCCACTGGGGGTGGGAGAAATACAATCTGGCAGCAGGAGAACAAGTCGTGCAGGTTTTGTGGGCTAGCTGAAGGGTAAAAGTTTTAAAATATATGTGCTCCATTAAGTTTTAGTGTCTTGAGACTTATCTTTGATTGCAACATGCTGTTGTAGCCTGAAGAGTACCGTCTTTTTTTCTAATGGGCTTGTTTAAATTGTACTTTCTGCAGCAAAGTTGCCTGATTCAGAATATATTGTTCAGGCTCAGCTGTTAGAAAAGCTGAATTGATTGTTATACAGATACATGTGGAGATGTTTGATGGTGGTGGTTGATGTGCATAGATATTGGAGGCCTTGAATATTTGTAAGTAAATACTAAAAGAGATATTAAATAGTCATGTAACACATTCATTCATTGCTCTTATCAGTTTAGACACAAGAGAGCCATGTTGTTATTTATACATAGAGGTGTGTGTCAGACAAAAAGACCACAGGTTTCTAAAAACAACTCTCTTCTGAACAAACAAAAGGAGAAAGTAAAATGCAAAACAGTCACTCAAAGATAGGAAAAAACATATAAAAAAGCACCAAAATAGGCTTTTGTATTTCTTAAAACATTAGAGCATGTTAATAGGTCATATAGTAGATATCACAATGTTACAGGACACACAAGAAACAAAGCTTTGCTGATTCATATATAGTGTCCTAAGATAAACTAATATAATGAGGATGATAAGCAAAACATGTCCATATACGCTTTATGAATGTTGGCAATCGGCCACTGAAGTGTCAACAAGTTTGCTAATGCCACTAAGTTCTGTAAATACGGATTTGTATTACAATCACATAGGAGGCCTTGCAGTTACTGAACTACACTGCCTTACCCAGGCAAAGTCCTGTCTATACTTTCAGACACATGCTAAGAGTCTAAGATGTACAGTTAAATTCATGATTATCATCACATGCACTATGATCCAGGTAATGTCGGTTCATAGTGTAATGTTTCCCACGTGTGTGTCCTCTGTCACCAGCGACACGTTTGCTGGGGAGAAGATCCCGACTCTGGAGGAGGCGGTGGAGGAGTGCATCAAACTGCAGCTCACCATCTACTTTGACGTTAAAGGTCACCCAGATGAGGTACTGTTAACCAAACTAACTTTAGAATGTGCAATCCATCTATACGTCATATTTGTTGATTTAATTGATGTGTACATAGTAAGCATTGCATAATGAAGAGAACAGGGGTTATTTTGTAGCAAAGATAGCCTTTACTGAGCCATAGTACACAATCATCACAACAAACTGAGCCAGAGACAACAGTCAGTGTTGCAACTCCTTGCTGACACATGCAGTTATATTTGTATACCTAATGCCATTTAAACTTCAGAGTTTGGACCATTTAGTTGTGCATATCTTCAAGCTAATTGCTATTGCATGAATGTAAATCCCTTACTCTGCACACTTTTAGATGGATAATGAATACAGGACTACAGTTGACAATTGAGTTCAGGGCCTGCCGCAGTGCAGCTACACATAAACAGCTGCTAGATACCACCAAACTGTTGCACGGGAAAACACACACACAGCTCTAAAAAGCCTCTTACACAAAAATCTAAACAGTGGACTGTCCTTCAATAACCATGTGTTTCTCCCCCCTCTCCCAGGCAGCTGCAGCCCTGAAAGAAGTGTATAAAAAACACCCAGTCCTCTACAACAGTAGCATTGTCTGCTCCTTTGAGCCCAAAGTCATCTACAGGGTAAGAGGCTCTTTGAAGATCGTTTGAACTGGGTGTTCCTAGGTAGTGTACTACATCTGAAACACATCAGAGTTGTGGAACAAAATGGGATTGTCAATAAACAACTGTACTTTTTTTAACAAGATAGTAAAAAGCATGCATACATTGCTGCGAACACAACCAAATATAATGGTTTGTTCTGGTCAGATTCCTCCAGTGTAAACACAACATTTGAGCAGTTCTCAAGCACTTTGATCTAAAGCTACATTTCACTGTTTTTTATGATTCAATATGTAGCCTGAACACTGGGTGAAAATAAACTTGCACCTCAGGTGACACCGATACAAAGGAGTCTGCATGTTACCATATTTCTAGAAACATAATTTAACTGGAACAATATAAATACACTTTTTTATTTTGTCATGTTGCTTAATGCTTTAGCTCAGATTCTCCATAAAATAAGATAAGAAGAACTTTATTGATCCTAAGTTGGGAAATGTTTCTGTCCATCTCTGTAACACCAACAATGAAAGCTATACAAGCTGTGATAACCTGACCAATATTGATTACCAAACAGACAACACAATATTGATGTGGTACTGATTAAATAAACTACAACATTTACTTTGATTGCTGCCATTGATTACATCACTGTTTAAAAAGAAATATGGCTTACATTGACTATCACTCAACCTCAGATGAGGCAGAGCGACCCAGAAGTGGTCACAGCACTGACCCACCGGCCATGGAGCCTGAGTCGGTTGGGAGACGGTGCCTCCCGATTCTCGTCGCCATGGAAACACAGTTGGATGACAGCATTGGACGTGATGTTGGACTGGGCGCACCATCACGTGCTGTGGAAGCTCTGTGGCATCTCAGCCTTCCTCGTACAGAAGAACCTTGTCTCACCGTGAGTAGATGGACACCTTTTTGGATCACATGGTGTTTTTAGAACCACTAAAGAATAAGAGTAACTGTTAATAACTGAGTTTCTGTCTGCAGGGAATATGTCCAGTACTGGGCCCAGAGGGGGGTAGAAGTGGTAGCATGGACAGTCAACACTAAAGTGGAGAAGGACTACTACCAGGAGCTGCTGCAAGTCAACTACATCACAGACAGCCTGGTGGAGGACTGTGACCCCCATTACTGAGAAACATATGATGCCAGCACAGGATGTGATCACACACACACACTGATTAAAAAGATCAGATCTGTACGGACCATTTCATTTTTCTACTTGTCACTCAAAATGGGGCACCAGGTAAGAGAACAAGTGCCACTCTTTTCTTCTGCACATGTCACATTGTGAATGTGTGCATGTTAGTTTGAGGCGATCAAACGAACCAGAAAGGGTGCTAAACGTAATAACAAGGGACATGGTATGCATTTATAGATATTTTGGTGTCCAAATGTACTGTGTTCACCAACTCAGGACTGCAATGATTGTTTTCTTGGTAATGATGTATGTTCTTCTGTATTTCAAGTCCCACAGTGCAGTATCACACACTGTCTGTGCTTTTTACCAATAAACATTTCATGTCTTTTACCAAAGCAAATAAGGATGTAGAATTAAATATGATGAGTAAACATATGGTGACTTTTTGACTTTGCATGACTTTGCTATGTGGTTCTTTTATTCAGGTTCTTATATTAATCTTTCAATTAAAAAAACGTAAATTGCTTTTATGGTGTCACACTTCTGGACCCCACTGTAACTGGGGAGTTAGAGTAAGGTTTTGAGCCCCGTCATTGCGCTGGAGTTGGTAGATAAGACAGATAGAGTACTACTGTTGATAAGCTTTATGACCCCAATATCAACCTTACTTGCATTTGATTTATGTCTTATTTGGTCTAAGCAGACTTGACAACCTAAAAAAGTAAATGTGGAAGGCTTATTTCCCTGTTAATAAAATAAATACATCAATTTCATTTCATTTGATGCATAGTGGGCAGCAGGGTGACACAGTTCAGTTGTGTGAGCTGACATTCTGCAGCCAAGACGTATGTAGGAAATGATTCAGTAGTTTAACACTAAAACTAAAGGCATTAAGGGTGCTCATATTGTCTAAGAAGATCAGAAAAATACTTTTGACACCAATGTTTTGAGCTTTTTATACTTATGAATGCTGGAGAAATGGTCAGCAGCAGTGTGACAGCTGATACATAAAGTATATCTTACAATAGAATGGCCATGGTTTGGAGCCTGTGAGTGTTAAGCCTGTGAAGTGTGGACTGTTGATTATTAGCCTCTAAAGTCTCAGGTGATGGCCCAGATAGTACAGATGGATGGGGGGGGGGGGATATGCTGTGTTGGATATCACCCTGGATAAGCCTGTCTGAGCCGCTTCTAATATATCAAAGATCGTACAGGGAAGCTACAAAGGGATGCAGTAATATATGCCCTTATATTAATGTTACAGTGGAGGGTCTACAACTGAAGATACAAAAGTAACTAAATAAATATTATATATAATATTTTTTAAAGCTTTTTTTGTCACACCATGCATTCAATATTTACAATAAGAGTTAAATGGTACATTATGCAGTCTCTTGGTTATTGCTAAATGAGTGTGCAGAAAAAGGCCACTTTTATTTGACTTTTTCTTCGACACGTCTATCCATCTGAGCGTTTGGTTTAGTAATTATTAGATGAAAGGTGATCGCACCCTGACAAGGGGCGTGCTGTGACGTCACTGAGGGGGGTTGCCCCGCTCCGTAAAGCGATCAGAGATGAACAGAAACAACGAGGGCGGAAATAAAGAAGATCTTACTTCAAAGTAAAAGACAATTAAAGGAAGAGATTGTAGGGAACTTAGAATTCCTATCGTTTTACCATGTTAAATAATGAATGCATCTTGATAACTTAAGTCAATTAATTTCAGTTGTATTATTAACACATCACATGTACTGTTTATTTTACTCATTGGTTGTGTTATGTTGTTGCAAGCTATAACGATGGGGTTGTTTTATTTTCCCATAATTTTAAACCCTGTCAAGATGAATTTAATTTTGTTTAAAAATGCATCTATATTTTTGGGAAACCATTTCCTATTCTATGGGATTAGTTTTGTTTCATAAAGATAAAGCAACACTTTCTCAGAATAAAGCAAAACTAAGAGTTTAAGAGAAAAAATGAACTGAGTCAAGCAAAATACATTTAATTTAAAAAATAAAACTATAAATTGCAAACAAATCATTTGTGTAATCATGTAAACTATAAGTATTTTTTCTTTGTTTTAACATGTCTTTTTGTTTGCAGTTCTTTGCTTCTTTCTCAATGATCAAACTTTTGCTCTCGCTGCAGCTCTCTCGTTTGCGCTCCCTCATTTTTTGTTTTCGATTCTGACACAAACGTCCCAGGTAGGCGGGACTTTCAGGGGTGCGTCCCCATTGGCTACTCAGTTTTTGAGTGACAGCCCACTACACCACAGATCATACAGTGCAACTCATGCAGCAAACTCCGGAGTCCACTCGGCCACGTTTGTGTTGGTGTCTCCTGGGACATCCCGGAGTTTTCATGAAAATATCGGACTTATCTTATGGATTGCTGTGCATTATACTTGTGTTGTGTAGTTTATACTTCATTCCAACTTTAAATATTTTAATACCTGAACACACTGCTGCTGTAAAATAATTTTATATTTATTTATTTTATTGATAAAAAAAACACATCTATGTATTTTCAAGCTAAAGGTGATACACAATATAAACTGTATACTGTTATTTATTCAAAGACATGTTACATTTCAAAAGCATATAGGCTATGGCTATGTTTAGGACAAACAATTAAAGACTGCTTTAATTTAACAAATTCTACAATATAAAAGTGGCAGATTTGCTTTATTAAACAGACCAGGGGCCTCATTTATAAAGCCTTGCGTAGGATTCACGTGGGAAGGTTGCTTACGTAGGACAAAGCAAATAAATACGCACAGACATTTTCCGATTCATAAAACACTGCCAAAATAAAGGTTTCCCTTTATAAATCACAATCAACTCGAAATGCGGCGCAGCTTTTGCGGACTTCACGTAACGCCCATATTTGCCTATAAATAGTCAAAGAAACGCCCCGTATTAATAATCATTTTGACTGACTGCATGAAGAAGATCGCAGGAAATGACGACAGAACAGCTAAAAAAGACATCTCACACCGTGTCAGATTTTGGTTCTTTTGGGAAGGTGGAGACAAATCACATCGTTTGGTGGATGCAGTTTGAACCAGAGTAGCAGCATGGAGGTCGGATCGTCACCAAAATAAATAAATAAGTGGTCCGAAAAAAGTTAATGACACGTAACCTTCCTCAGGCAGTGTGTCAGTGTGTTTATGCCGGGGACAGGAGACCCCCCCATGATGATAAACTGTAAGAAAGTATCGGGGGATCCCTGCGGAGTGGAGTCAATGAATGTTTATTTTGTTATTTGGTGGTTTGTGTTCCAGCTGTCGATCAGCTGTGCGTCTCCACTGCAGCCTGTGCGTCTCAACCCCCCCGCAGCAACTCTATCCACCACTTAAATGAAATAAAACAAATGTGTTGTGTAATATCAGCTGCCAAATCTACCAAATATATGGTGTTCTTAGTTTCCATACCTCCTGTGTTTTATGAGCGACTTGTCAAGTCTTAGCAAACGGCATAAAACATGATTAAACATGATAGTATATAAAACCATGGTCGTATACAACCTATAGAAATACAAAACGGCCTCAGTTTAGACGAAATTCTGTCCTTCTGCATACCGCATCATTTATGAGAATACATGTCATAACATTAAGACAGCATATTCGAGGTGGTTTTCAATAACATATCTATACAGATATGTTATTGAAAACCATATTTATTTCTCCAAGTTACGTTTTTGTGTGCACTGAGGAGTCGCAAACAGGCGTTTGTTTAATCATTTTAAGATTGGCTTTAATCAATTTTTGCAAATGAATTCTTCATATATGATACATGAGAGGTAACATTATATTTATGGTATTATTTTCACATATTTATCTCCATTCTTCCTTCTGCCAATGGTGTTGCAGTTTCTCGTCTCTCCCGTTGTTGTGCTTAGTGCGTACGCATGGGTCAGAGTTTGCGTGGAGGTTCGCACATTTTCCCGTCAAGTTTGTTTTTTATAAATCGCACACATTGCTTAGAAACTGGCGTACGCCATCTTTTGAGCGTACGCACCGTTTATAAATGAGGCCCCAGACCTAGGTTGCATACCGCATCTTACTATGTTGGTCTGAAGAGCTGAAGCATTCATACACAATGGATAAAAACTGTGTTGTCTCATTCTATATCCTGTGAGAAAATGATATACATTTAGCATAAAAAATTCGACATACTATTCCTAGCCTGAGGAAGATATGAATAATCAACAGATTTGAATGGAATCTCTAACATTTTCATGTAGAATAAAGACAAAAGAGTGATTATACAAATTACATTTATTGAAATTTGAACCAGAAGATGAAGTCTCAAAGAATGTTTTAAATAAAAGGACATAAAACAAAAAGGTGTATAATAATACAATCTATTAAATGTATATGTAAAGACATTTGGTCAAATGAAATGACACTGAGCAAGTGATAACAGCAACGCCCAGCATGGATGAAGCTGGTGCAGGTCTTTCTTCATGCCCCCCCTCCGTGCTGTCCCCTCAGAGGAAGTGGGAAAACGGGATAAGACTCTGGACACCACGCTGTCTCAATGATCCACACTGTTAATATGAGAGGAAAATAAATGTTTTAGGAAATGAAAAATGTTAAGTTAACAAATAAAACTCAGCTCAGGGGCAGTCATGGAGAAGAAGTAAACTCAGCCTTCATTGATTTTCATATCAAATAAGCTATCATGGCTTATACTCGCATATCCAAACAGAATCATGAAAGCATGTTGGTAGAGTCAGGCACACGAGTCCGAGTGTCTGAACGCTCACTCACTGCTAGCTATGTAGCTAACTGTCCGTGCTGTTAGGCTACTTAGCTTGCATTGCTATGGATCTAAAGGTAGCAAAAGCTAACTTTCATAGCATAGCTTTTCTTTACTTCTCACTTAACACAATAAAGAAACAGACCGTATAGTGTACTATAAACAAACAACACAAATGATCAATACTTACATATATTTTCACTTGTAGCATTATAATAATTGAAATGCTGGTTCTTCTGGTGGTGTTAGTTCTATCCACGCTCAGCTACCGCACCGCAGCTGCACTGTACAATCGCTGGAGGCTGTCACTCAAAAACTGAGTAGCCAATGGGGACGCACCCCTGAAAGTCCCGCCTACCTGGGACGTTTGTGTCAGAATCGAAAACAAAAAATGAGGGAGCGCAAACGAGAGAGCTGCAGCGAGAGCAAAAGTCTGATCATTGAGAAAGAAGCAAAGAGAACTGCAAACAAATAGATATGTTAAAACAAAGAAAAAATACTTATAGTTTACATGATTACACAAATGATAATAGTTTTATTTTTTAAATTACATTTATTTTGCTTGACTCAGTTTTTTTCTTCTCTTAAACTCTTAGTTTTGCTTGATTCTGAGAAAGTGTTCCTTTATCTTTATGAAACAAAACTAATCCCATACTATTCACAACACAAACA